AAGATTCAAGGTGATAAGTCTCTTAGGACAGAAGTCAACAGAGGATCTATGAAATGAGACATTCTCCAAAATCTACAACACTGTGACTGCAAGACATGCTATTTCTACAGTATTTCTCAATAGGGAAAAAATGACTTAAAATCATTTTTACAACAAGTGATTCAATAAACCCAGGCTTTGGATTTAGATATCCAATTCAACAGAAATCTTATTTTTATATAATCTCTGACCAGCATAAGATTAAAATTGGAAATTTTCAGTAGCACTTAGATTTCCATAAAATTGTTAATGCCCATCCTTAATACTTTTAAATTTAAGCATTTTTTTTGTGTGTGTGTGTCCTTGGAAATAAGCCTCTGTGGGTATTTCCAGTGCAAAATAGTCCTATCCCTACGAAGTTAACGTCTTAGCTTGAAAGTTATAGGAATATATGTTGTCAAATTTGAACTTTAAATAATGAGTATTTTTTTCATGCCAGCAACAAGACTCTTGTAATTATCACAATTGCAATGAAGTAACACCCTTAATGTCTTTTAAAAATGTTGGCCCTTGACCTCTGACTACATAAAATATTATAAAGTGAACAAATTTAATGACTTCGTTCGCTATTTTTCATATCATTGTTACTAAATATTTTGACTCTTAATTACAAAATTAATGAGCTTTCTACACTGTGCTTTTTGCTACACCCATTGCTTACATTATCACTTTTCCACTAAATTTATTTCTAGCCTATAAAGTAACACTTCTACTCTAGGTGGGACCTATTATAATCATTGAATGTTTTTTGTTTTTTTTTAGCATGCTGAGTAACTATAAATGTGCAGCTACATCACTGCTCCACTAGATGGGGTTGTGCACAGGTAATGTGAAATGCGGAGAACACTGGTCAATGGGAGAAAAACAATGGAGAGAACAAAGACAATTGAGATGTTAAAACCAGATTTGGATTGGATTTGGCAAAACTGCCACATAGCAAAATCTCACAGTGAGTGCTTTCAACTGTCAATAAAATTATGCTGTTTCAATTAGTGAAATTCTTCCCGTTAATTTATTTCATAATACAGAGAAGGGTTAGCTAAAAAAAAAAAATGAAGCTTCAAGGCATATCTATCCATAGCTAACTTTCTCCCCAATCAGGACTTAAATAAAAGTTCTAGTATTGTCACCAGCCCAGCCTAGAAAGAATTCCAAGATTCTTTCAAGCTCTGGGTTCTCTTTGAATGCAGTATCTTTGCATGGGTAGGTCACATACTTTTAGATGCTATAACTATAATTAAAGATGCTGGAAACTATAATTAAAGCCGATGATAACAATGTGAAATAATGATTACATACACAACTGGTATATGTGCCAGCTTGGAAATCACTGACAAAACCCAATGAATGACAGGGAAAACTAATGAGAAGTGAAGTGGAGATGCTCATTAAAGGAGTGTACAAGGGCAGGGTAATGAATTATAAAGTAGTGAGAAGTGGGAAATACGTATATAGGTACTCCAAGAAATCTAATGTTACTGCCTCTGCCTCTTGTTCTTTAACACTGCAACAGACTTCCAAAAACAACTAAGAAAATAATTTAAAAGTATAAATGATCAAAATACACAGAGAAAATGACTGCTTCCTAATAAGGAAGTTTATATATGTAACATTGCTCTATACCTTTTAGTTCGGCAAAGTTTGCAAAGTCAGTCAGCTACCTTTCTTAAAAATATGCCTTTTAAAGTTCATTAAGTACCTGTCTGAAAATATACGTCGCAAAGTTCTTTAACTATCGTTTATTTTCTAAAGGTCTTGTGCTTATCTTATGTAACAGTGTAGTTTCTAAGCTATATCTGTTATGGACTCTGTCCCCCAACCCCCACCCCCCAATTCATATATCAAAACCTTACCTCCCAATGTGATGGCATTAGGGAGTGGGGTCTTTGGGAGGTGATTAGGATTAGATGAGGTCATGAGAGTGGAGCCCCATGAATGGAGTCCTTATAAGAGTCAAGAGTGCTTGCTTCCTCTCTGCTCTCTGCCTTGTGAGGATACAAAAAGGAGGAGGCCACCTGCAACCCAGAAGATGACCCTCACCAGAACCTGAGCAGCTGGTGCCCTCATCCGGACTTCTGGTTTCTGGAATTGTGAGAAACAAATTTCTGTTGTTTATAAGCCACCCCATCTGTGATACTTTGTTACAGCAGCCTGAACTAAGACAGTATGTAACAAATGTGGAAGCGGAACTGTAAAAAAAAAAAAATTAATGAAGAAAAGGGTTTTATTTCTAATCTCAACTCCTCTAATGAATTACTGACCCAAATTGTTGATTTCATTAAGTGTTTCATCTAATATTTTCTAAATATCAATAAAGGTTATTTTTTTTCTTCTGTTGAGGAGTATATATGTTTCTAGGGAAACATAACAAATTGATAGCCACAGTAAACAGTCTTCGCAATTTTATCCCCATTTCTACTAATTAGTTTGTTAATAAAAAAAAAGCCCGTGTTTAAATCTGCAAAGTAGAGCAGAAAGCTGCTTTTTAAACAAACTAATTAGACATGATTATTTTGCTGTCTTCATGTTTGTCATTGATGAAGCCAGAAATAGGGAATATTTTTAATAACAATCCTAATCTTAGAAAAAAAAATAAAAATAAAAGCCTCTTCATTTTATAATGTGCTAATTATCTTGTCTTTCTTTAGTTTCTAATTAGTTAAGCAGATTCCTATTTAATAGATTATCTTGGAATATAGCTACCATTAGATTTCCTTTAAAAAAAAGTTGATATATATGATGATTGGTCTTTAAAGTATATTTGAAACATTAAAAATTCAAAATACTGAATGGAAATATGTCCCAACATAATGTTAAATAAATTACAAGAAATAAAAATAAATAAGTGGAAAAAAAGAAAAAAATGAATTACAAAACAATATGTATACTGTGATCCCAATTTCAATTTTTAAAACGTGTAAAGAATGGAAAGATATACATCAAAATGTTGGCAGTCATTTTCTCTGTGAGTTTTTCCATTATTTTTCTGTTTGTTGAATTTTCAACAAAGAACTTGCAGTACTGTCATATAATATAATCAGGGAAAATATTTATATAACATTACTGTTTATTTTAGGTAATCAAAGAATACAAACTTGTTACAAAGATTTTTATAAAAGTGTGATGTTGCAAATCAATAAAATGTATCAATCTGATTTCTTAGAAAATAAAGCTTTATGATTTCAACGTTCTCAAAAGGTAGAGGAGTTTCCTTGGACAAGTACTCACTCTGCTGGTGACATAAAGAATATACCTATTCTGACATTTCTTAATTGCATTGTTTTTCACAGGCACTAGAGGGCAGGGTTTTCACTACAAAACTCAATTCCACCAATCATCACTACATTATATACCTTTTTTGGTCTGTGGTTTCTGTTACTATGTGATCAACTATCACTATATTTATTATATACCTTTTTTGGACTGTGCTTATATTAACACAATAATTTTAAATTACAGTTTGCATCCCATGAGATACTTAATAGCTGATTTACCATAATAAAATTAATTTACACCTACTTATACCAAAAGGAATTCAAATATATATGTACACATAATGTACATGTTTCAAAACTATTTTTAGGGCTGTATTAACAAATATGTAATCTAAGTTTCTGAGCTGAAACTGTCTCATATTAAAACTGAATGACTAATAAACACATTGAAAATTGAAGTCCACTGCTACTGGTTCTACTTCAATAAAAAATGGAAGGTAATTGCTAAGAAATTAGTTAAAGAGCATTTGAGATCTTGCTTTCTGGCATATGTTGTCAGTGTGGCTCAAATAAGCTCTTATAAAAAAAATTAGTGGGTTGGCTGAGTGGCTCAGTTGGTTAAGAGCTCGCTCAAGAGTGCGAGTTCTGAGCAACAGCGGTTCGAGTCCCAGCCTGAGCTGAGCTGCCCCTGAGCTGCCAACAGTTGGCAGGATGGCTCAGCTAAAAAAAAAAAAAAAATTAGTTAAATACTCGCAGAATTGTATATTTTTAAGAGGACACTGAAATGCTTTTCTCTAACTCCAAAAACTTGTAACATCAATGAGGCTTATAAATTCTGGTGGTGATGGAAGAGAAGTTGATAGGGAAAAAGACATTCCAGGAAGTAAGAACAGTAAGAACTATAATACTTTGGTAACATACGTATCTTTAACAGAATTTATTTTCTACTCTTCACCTCCCCTTCCACACATACACCTGTTTGTAAAATAACGTAGAGGTCTTAGATGCGTTTATTTGGAAATTTATATTTAAAACCTGAGCTTTCCTGGCAAAATAAGCTAGATTAGAAAACTGCCTACTGAAACTCTTTGAAACACAGAAAACAGAGACCACTATGAAATGCATATAATCTAGTTTAGATATATAATTTGGGTGCCATAAATGCTGGCTAATTATTACACAGTTTAAATGTGAGGAAAAGTCCAATCCAATTATAGTAATACCTTGGTTTGCAAGCATAATTCGTTCTGGAAACAAACTACTCGTATTGCAAGACATCGTTCGTTTACCACATTAAAACGTATTAGAAACGTTTGCTCGTCTTGCGGAACACTCGCAATCCAAGTTACTCGCAATCCAAGGTTTTACTGTATTAAGTTGTTATAAGTCTTACCATTTATACATTAATCTAGTAAAATTTACACACTGCTGATATTTAGCCTTCATGAACTTAAATGAAATTCCATTCCCATAGGACAAATAGTCATATTACTTCTTAGAGTTCTTGAATTTCATTTTTTTAAAAAAAATACTGCATTATCTATGTATGGAGTTTAAAATATTCTTCTCCACTTACCTAAAGGCTGAGCCAACCTAAAAACCTTATGTCATTGTATTTTATAGATTAAAGACCGGGGTCTCAACACATTACCTCCCAAATAAGGAACCTCTTGATTCTATCTATTTTAGTATTTTCATCAGAGTTGGAATGGATTAAAAGAGACAAAAAGAAACAGGCATACTTACTTGAACCTGGCAGGTGAAAGAGGAGTAGGAGGAAACATTCCTGGTTCAAAAGAATCAAAATAAGTCACTGTCCAAGAAAAGCTGCAGCAGGAGAACCCGGCAGTTAGGGATATTATAAGTAGAGTCCAGAATCCTTAATGGGAAGAGGGAAGGAAAAAACCGAATTATTAACACCAAAGCAATTTAAATTAAACCAGTATCCTTATGTTCAGAAGATCATGTGTATTTCTGATCTTATGAATTATGCATAAATGATATGAGATTTGAGTTTAATACAAGCCAATGCATGTAAAAATGTAAAATACTAAAGCACAACTAGAAGTCCTGTCATTGAATATTTTAATTATAATTTAATATGTGGAAAAGAGTTCAAATTCAACTTAAGAATATAACCCATCTTCAGTTTTATAAAATTCATCTATGAAAAACTAGTTAACACACTTCACTGTTTAAATACCTTAACATTTTTCACTCAACTTTGTGAATTGAGTTGCTGTCTTTTATTATTTAGCACTAAGTGATTGCTTTCTTTCCATATCACGTACTTTTGACATATGAATCAATGTTAGAGTGCCTACTCTTTACAGCTTTCCTATGAACATCATAAACTTAATCTGAATCTTTAACCTTGCTCAGTATATGAACAAAAGTTAATTCTCAATTTATAAATGGGTTAGGATCCTAAATTTTATTTTTGGTCAAACTAGGCCTGCATTTTCTCAAATAAATCAAATCAAAGCATGGTACTATACTGGGGGAAAGGAAGGAGGAAGGTTGAGAAATGGAAGAATGGAGGGAGTAAACACAGTGACAATAGAGGGAATAAATTAACTTGAAGGTTTTTAGATGCACAAACTGCCTCCTAAGTTTAGTAAGCCACCACTACTGATGAGTGTGTCTTAGGCCTCAGTACAAGAAGGAAGGAAAGGTTGAGAAGATTACAGTAGAGAATGACTTAAGAATTACCAAATTTCCTGGCTGTATATAATTGCACAACCAAAGGTGCCTTTATTTTAGCAAGAAGCATGTAAGAAATATGTGCACTGGACTATTTGTAAACCATTTGAAGCCCAGTAAGAGACTGGTAAAAATGCTAGAAAACAAACTCAGAGCAATGAAACATGGAGAACTGTGGCAAAGTATTTTTGAAAGATCAAACTAACTTTTTTTCTCCTGATGGTTCCTTTCCCTTACCCCCTCCATTTTAAAGAGATAATGGACTTGTGGTTTTTGCCCCAGAAGATTGATGTGGCAAAGAAGAAAGGAGAACTACCCCGAGCGCCTCTTTGGTTTTTATATTGCAAAATAATTAAGGGAACTAGGAGGGCAGATATAAGCAGGAAGGTAAGCACAAAATGTCTTGAATAGACATCAAGAATAATGAGTTGCATGAGTATAAATAAAATGCTTGTGTAGAACAGGGAGAAAGAAGGGCTTTATCTATAGGTGATAAAGATTCCCAGCTTGAAGAAAGCGGCTTATGTGTTATGTTTGTACTTGTGTCCATAGGGAGAGGGTAGAGCTGCTGGGGCTTCCTGGCAGCAATCAAAAGGCTGCACAACACCAGACAGGGATTATAGCTGTGTATCAGACAGGGACTATAGCTGTGCACCATAGCTTGGCAGATGGGTCCAGAGCCAAACTTGTAGATGTCCCTGTCCTGAGTGGGTCACAGAAACAGCAGATAGTCACGTGGCTAGAAGGTGCTATATCTAAAAGGCCATCCTGACCAGAATGCAAGATATTTCAGCAGTAACTCATTTGAGCAAATGTCTTGAGGACTACATTGCACCCCCACCCCAGGATCCTGGCAGTGTCAGCCTCTAGAACCTTAACCCAACCTAGGACTGGGTAAACAGCCTTTACAGTGAAGACCGAGGTATAACCTTCCTGCAAACCCAGTGAGACAAGGGACCACAACAGAAATTATGAGATTGTTTAGTGTACAACTTAAGGGTGACTATGTGGCCAAATAGCTATTATTTGTTATTATTTAGATGAATACCTAGAGAAAGGAGAAAATAATTGACAAGTTTACTGTAAGTTTAACATTTTATAATACATAAAGTCTGTAGAACTGAGATAGAAATTTTTAAAAAATCAATTATGTTTGAGGGCTGCTGTGGGATGATGGAAACTTCTAAATATCAAAAAGTGAGAAAGACAAAAAAAATAACATTAAAAAATAACAAAATGTGAGGCTTTCTAAAGCCCATAAAGCTTCTTCACTCGGCTGCTTTAATAGAACATCCATCAAATTTAATAGAATACTACTCTTTTCAGAAATGCCTACTATTCCATGATCTAAGTGCTTGCCTCACTTTGGGCATTTTAATTATTTTATATTCATTTTGAACTAATCAACAGTTACACCACTGGTAACAGTCAGGTCACACACAATACAGGGCTAAAACAGTACAGTGTAATATCATGGTCTAAAAGAACTTATGCTTCTGAAAATTACTCAATTCGTTTAACAACAAGCAGAAAAGCCACAGAGGCTGTCAACTGCCAACAATGAAATCTGTAACAAGTCCCTATCTCCAGAACCCTGAAACTAAAAAATCTGACAACTGATGTTTTGTAAACCCATTTTACCAGGAGTTAACATAACTTTTTTAAAGGTACAAAAGCATATAAAAATTATGGCAAAGTCTTCCTTCCCCAATTCACCAATTCCACTCCAAAAACCAATCAGCTAAGACTTTGCCGTATATTGTTTCTAAAAATTATAGGTATCTAGGTAATATAGGAGACATAGGGAGCTAGTTATGAACAAATAATATATATTTTATTTTCCCAATTTTCTACAAATGTGATTATCACCACAAAAACTGTCCTACACTTTGCTTCATATAACAATGTTGAGGACCTTTCATATCAGTACACACAGCCACAATTCCATTGCATACTTTTATGATTCCAGTTTTGCACTATAAAAACAATGCAGCAAGTAACATTCTTGTACTTAATTATGTAGTTGTATAAAGGGCATCTGTAACAAATTTCTGGAGGAAGAACTGCTGTGTCAAAGAATATAAGCCTTTCATACATACATCCTTTCTTCTCTACAGTTCAATTTTCATCAGTTGATAAAATGATAGAAATTCATTATTTTCCACCAATTGAGATCTCTTGGACTCAATGTTTTTATCTAAAGCAAAGACAGGGGTAGGTGGGAAATTCCTATTCTAATTCCTTTTTTGGAGTTTTGTATTCACTAATCTGATGGTATTATTTTGTTTTGATATATTTCATTTTGCAAAATAAGTGATTTTGGTTTCAAAACGCAGTTAGTTTTCTAAAAATATGCTGGCATCTTTCATTATTTCTATTTCCAGCAAAGAAATATTATCATATGAGTATGTTCTAAATATTTTCATTTTATTTAGCAATTTCAGGGTTAAAGGGTGAGGTGACTTTCAGAAGTTTTATGAAGTTAGGGATGTAGAGGCAGTAGCATACACATATTGGGTTGTTGGAAAAGTCATGACGTATTTTTTTGTGTTTCGCTGCAATAATGTGTCATGACTTTTCCAACAACCCAATATTACATGTAAGCAGAAACAACCAGAAAAAAACAAAAATTAAAACAAGAACGCATACATTCCCTTACTAGGAAAGGTTTCTTAATAAAACACTGTTACATTGGTATGTAATCAATAACACATTCTTCATAAAACTTATTCCTAACATAAATAAACAATGTGACTAAATGTGACAGCACACCGATAATTTCCAATACACTGATAATTTCCAAGTCCGTTTTAGAGCTTCTGACATTTGAAATGTTTGAATAACTGGTAATACTATGAATACAAATGCAATAATGAAAAAGAATGAGGTACACATGTGTATATTGATACAGAATGAACTCTAAGACATTCTAATAGAGCTGCAGAACATGCATGATTACAATGTTTTTTCCACAACAGTGACAAAAACCACATATTTTAAATTATATCTGTTAAATGAACAAAAAAAGATCTGAAAATATACACAAGTAGATTAGTGGGAAACTTGGCTTTAATTGTTGGATTTCCCCCCCTTGAGACTATATTACTTATATAATTAATTTATGAAATTATTAAAGAAAATTAAATTAACATTTTGGTAATTTAAGTTGTACAACCTATAACCAGCTGACTACTAATAAAAACTTAGATGTACTCATGCATAAAACTGATCAACAATTTTCAAATGTTTATGTAAGCACACTTCTGCAACTTTAGGATCTCCAAACTTATTTCCAAGTGCAAGAGCAGAGGAAAGAAGTCTTTTCTCCCCTGCCAGTGCCACCTGAACACACAGTGGGTGCACAGTGGCTACGTTGGTAAAATATCTCCACCCAAATGCCTGCCCACCTGCAACTCAGCATATAGCAATTCCACTCCCCTGCCTGCTGAAAATGGTAAGAAAAATGGAAGGGGACAAACTGAGAGACAAAGAAACTGAAACTTGAAAAATAAATAACATCTGTAGTTTCCAACCATGTTAAAACATCAGATTCACATGGGAAACTTTCAAAAATATGTACAATTTCAAAAATACACAAAAGTAGAGGAAAGAAACCCCATGCACCACCCATCCCTCATCTTTACATAACTCATAGCAAATCTTGTTAAGCCTTTGAAGTGTGTGATCTTCAGTATACTAGGGAAAGTTGTCATCACTATCATCTGGATCCAACATACCATTTTCCTTATTTTTAAGTCATTTGATGAACAATGTACAGAAGAATAAAAACAGTGAAAAAAGTCTGTAAGCAAACCCAAATTTTTATTCTAAAGTTTCCTGGTCTTAAAGATACGAGGTCAAACAATTAAAGTTTGCAAACTCATACAAAAAAAGTGCTACATACCTCATTGCTGAATATCACTACAGCCACTTTCTAAGTACTCTGCTTGGGAAGCTAGCTATGCACGGACGCCTAGTCCACCCTTCAAAGCAATTTTGGGACTCTTTTTCTGGAATGGCCATCAGAACTATTGTATTACCCTTGGTATCAAAATATCTTCCTTTTAATATTTCCTTTATCTTTGGATAAAGAAAGAAGTCATTGGGGGCCAGATAAGGTGAGTAGGGAGGTGTTCCAATAGTTATTTGTTTACCGGCTACAGACTCCCTCACAGG